CATATTTGGTTATCTGATGTGTCCATCGCGGGAAATCGAACTCCGGATTTTAGCGTTGGAAGTCCGTAAACTTACCGCTGTCCCACTAAAATGGGCTACAAAGTGCGTAAGATAAGTAAGAATAAATATTAAAAATACATTCTTCGGATAAAAGAGTTAGCACACAGAATCACACACTAAAGGTGCAATGAATTCTTCTTCTTCTTCAGGAGGATAAAGGGTCTTTATCCTCCTGAAGAGTAGTAGTCAACTATTCGGAAGCGCTCGAGTTTTTTTTTTTTATTAATTTTTTAATTATGATTAAACAAAAAGAAAAGCTATAATGAAAATAATAAAATTATTATTAAAACACGACAAAATGAGTTGAAATAAAAATAATAAAGTAAAAATCCATAAGTAATAAAATAGATTAGAAATAAAATGAAAAACCCATATCTCATGGGGAAATAGCTAAAATTAGGGAAAATAATTTCTGCAGAAGTTAAAAGTCAACGGTCACTGATTCCAAAATCCTAATTAATCGTATGCTTGTTAATTTTAAATCCATCTTCACTTTTTTTCTCTCTCCATCCTCCCAACTCCCAACGTCTTGTGTGAATACACATGGAACGGTTGACATCCATCTGGTTGTGTCTTCGTTCAAATTATAAGCCAAGAATTTTTATACCCTGTTGGTTGGCCCTGTCGGAAATACTTAAAGGGTAAGCATATATGGTGCCAGGGAATCGAACCCGCAAACTTCAGATTGCGAGTAGAGTGTCCTAACCACCAGGCCCCCAGCTTTAATCCCTATTAAAATCATCGTTAATTCTATGCTTGTTTCACTGCTTTATCTGGTTTAGTTCTAAGTTCATCTTCAATATCTAAGAAAATCAGGGTTAATGCCATGCTTGTTCTATCTGGCTTAGTACTTATACCATGCTTGTTTTATTGTTCCATCTAGTTTACTTTTAAAACCAGCTTCAGTACATAAGAAAATCGTGTCGTTTACAGAATGATCGGAAAAGAGTTATGGTTCTTAAAACGCTCTGTGAAAGAGTTATGGTTCTTAAAACGCTCTGTGAAAAAGTTATGGTTCTTAAAACGCTCTGTGAAAGTAATTTGGGTTTATTCAATATTGTGGTAATTACATTTTTAATGCTTTATGGAGTAAACAGCGTTTACTTTCAGTAGACTGCCAAGAACGTACATTCAGAAATTAGCTACGAGCCACTTTTTTTGTTTAAGAACGAATATTGACTATTGCCTAGACCTTTTTAAGTATCAATTCTTTTTATTTGGACATAACCTATCGCTTATGAATACAATATCTTAAATCACGACTATATTTTTCAATAAAGAATTCAAGACTTTTGGGTTAATATACCTATCAAGCTCCTAGAGATAACTGATAAAAGAATTTTAAGTTATAAATAATTGTTACACAGCTCTTCTGAAACGACACAGACCATTATTGTAAAAAAAAAAGACGCCACTAGCATCATAATACATTTTACACATTCTCACCTTTACTTTTTTCTTACGTTTCAGCTAACTTCCCTTACAAAATATCAACAATTCTCACTTCTAAGAGGTCAAAAATTGTTACGACACTAGGCGTGTAATAATTAGTTGCTTTCTTAAAATCCCCTTTGTGCGGCTCATCATAGGCTTAACGAACAACTTAATCAAACACAGTTTGATTTGAAATTTTGTTTATTTAATAACCTGCACTTTTCTGATCTAGACTTTCTCTAAAATATAGAGAAAACAACGATGTAAAACAAGATAAATCATCGAGTACAGCAAAAGTCACGTGGCTCGACAAACACACACACACACACACACAAACATGCGTAATAACGTCACAAATATATAGATGGCAGTTAAATATATTTTGAGCTTTGATTGTAAAGCGCTCACTGACATGGCTAAGTTTTGGCGCAGGAGTTGCAGCATTTCTTGGCGTAGAATTGATGACCACAGACTTTGTGTTTGACCACTATGTCACACCAGCTGAAGAGGTCAAAGCAACTGGAACCTGCAGAGACATAATTATGGTCAGTTAGATGCGTACAAGAATAAAAAAAGATTCTAAAATTGATATTTAAGAAGGGAACAGTGATCGTTATGATAATATTTAGGGTAATATGTCACAAATTATATATATACAAAAATTGTAGGACTGGGAAATTACTTGAAACATACATTTCAAAGGGAAACCAGTAAAAATGTGTCAGGTTAAGTGGTAAAGATAAGATTTCTGTGACAAGAACGTTTCTATACCTAAAACTATCAATATGTATATACATCGGTTTCTTCCTTTGAAACATTTCAACCTGCGTTTTTTTTTTTATTTTAAAAATGCCAAAGTTGTAAGAAACTCTACATGAATTACAGAACTTCTTGTTAGAGGGAGCTTTGTGCTCTATCAGTTAGTGCTTTGGGGTCGTAGATGAAAAGTGGTGGGATCGAGGCTTATCCGAGACATATCGTTATGTCATTGAGTCAGATACTTTAACCCAAATGCTTCAGTCTACCCAGCTATAAAACGGGCATCTGTAGATATCTGAGGGTTAAGATGCTATGGACTGACATACTATCTAAAGAATACTTTACTATTTTCATCTGCTGTGCTACAGGTAACCAGAATTAAGTTGTTGTTGTTTGTGGCATTTCGCGCAAGTCTTTGTTTATTTGTTATTAAGCACAAAGCTACATAGTTTGTTATCTGTGGGTATTTAAACCTGGTTTGTATCGTTAAAAGCCCTCAGACTTTCTGCTGAGCCACCAGGGGACTCGCGCAAGGCTACTCGAAGACTATCTGCGCTAACCATACTTATTTTGGAAGTGATAAGCTAGAGGGAAGGAAGCTAGTCAATATCACCCACCGCTAACTCTTGGGTTACTCTGATCAACTAGCGGGATTTTACCGTCTCTCTTATAACGCACCCACGACCCCAAAGTCCGGACGGAGTACGATGATGAGGCATCAGGATGCGAAATTTGGATCTTTACACTACAACCTCGTTAACCAAATGCGCTAAGTTCGGCCATAATACGATGTGAGCGTTTGTATCTAGAAAACTTATCTTCAGTAGCAACAGTTTAACAAAACTTGATATTCAATGTTAAAACTAAATATTTAAACCACCTTTCAAAAGTAAGGACAAAAAAGGCAAATGTTTGTCATCTTTCAGTATTTAGAAAAAAAAGAAGTCAAAAACTGAGTCTTTTTTATTTAATTTTTTATAA